GCCAATACAGTACGGTTTTATTGGTCAACAGGTCTATCACAAATGGACTTGTGATTCAGAAACCGTTGATACATTCTGCATGATTGTACATTCTTGCTTTGTTGACGATGGTAATGGAGATTCAGTAGAAATCTTGAACTCTGACGGTTGTGCACTAGATAAATTCCTTCTTGATAACCTGGAATATCCAACCGATTTAACAGCCGGACAAGAAACCACTGTCTTCAAATACGCTGATCGTTCACAACTGTTCTATCAGTGTCAAATCAGTATCTCAATCAAAGAACCACATGGTGAATGTGCAAGACCGAAATGTACTGAACCAGTTGGTTTTGGTGCAGTTAAGACAAAAGAACCAGCAAATGCTAAACCGTTTCGACTGCTCAAACGTTCTGCTGGATTTGACAACACCTTGGATGTAAGAACCGACATTAGTACCTTGGATATCACTGACCAGGTTAAGCATTTGCTCTATTTTCTTTTTATGACGGTAATTGTCTAAATGCTTTTTTTGTGACTAATTTACTATAACGTTTTATTTATTTTTATGCGCTAATAATCAGCAAGTTGTTTGTGGTAGATCAAGGAACTGTTGTCACTGAAATTGAAAAGAGAAAAATTTTTTGGCTGATGGTAGAGCAATGTAGACAACTTCTGCTTTTTTAGAGCCCTGGTCTGCCGGCTGCTCTTCGTCGTCATCAACACTATCATCCAAATGGACAGCCAGTAATTTTGGCAAATCTTCATCAAGGTATCTGTATGTCGGCGTTTGCTGTATCGCTGTTCATGGCACTAGCAGTTGCTATGACTGCAATCATCGTGGTTTTGGTATCACTCCACTGCCGGAGCAAGAAGGCTTGAAATGGATGAAAACGATGATTCCTGATGCGCTTATTATGCGAATCAATGGACGAAATATACGAAAACAAAAAGAACAAAAAAAAGCAAGAACAAAACAAAAAACATACATATCAAAAACTTATCATTAACCTATATATCAGATTTTTTTTAAACACATATACGCAAACAGAGATATTATCAGTTTATATACTCCAAATTTATTTGTATAATTGTGTAAAACTACTACTTATTACTCCTATTACTACCATTATCACTACCACTACCACTACTATTACTGCTACTATTCCTACTAATACTCCTACTATTACTCCTATAAAAAAAATCTTATCGTTTATCCACATTTAGCACGTCTTTTCTTTCCGCTTTATTTTTTAAAAGTTCTTGTTGCTTTTTTTTTCTATCTGCTAACCAATTTATTTCTTTTGCAGTTTTTTCCTTTTTTTATCATTCTCCAATTATCACCTTTCTTTTTTTTCTCTTTTTTTTTTCTTAACAACCAGTTATCCATTTATGTGCAATAAAAATTTGTCGAAATATCTGGTGAAAAAGTATTTGCTCAAAGAATAAAATTTAAAAAAATTAAAAAAAATAAAAAAATGAGAATAAAAACAGAAAATGAACCAGACAAAGAGAAAGAGAGAGAAAAGGGGGGGGGG